TTTCAAGGGACTACATGGCATTATATTCCAGAAGATAGTACCTTCATAATCACCACTGTGAGAAATTCAAATCATACATGCATGACAAGTGTTGACATGAGAAGCATGTCTCTTTTCCACAGGACTACACAAACAATTTGCAGGGGCATTCAAATAATCTCCCTGTAGTAGCATAACTAACATACACTTTGAATGAAACTTGCTGGTTTCATCTTCCACATATGTAGACAGTTGAAAATGCTACGCTGCCCCTGTAAAAGACAAATATACTAGAATTAGTAGTAAGCCTAATGAAATACACCTATATTAAACATATCCCTTGACACCATAACAGAAAGGTGATGGCCTTCATGCGTGGCAGCAGCTAGTTCAACATGCACACTCAGCCAGGCATCAAGAGACAAACAGTCCAACATGTGGGTTAGGCAAAGAAGTTACAATGCAAAATATACACACAGAATTAGACACATTCAGCTGATATTAATAGGAGAGCAAGCCTTGGTATTTGGACTATAGTAGAACTATGTGAAAGCATTTTCAGAAACATACACTGAAATAGCATTTGTTATCAAAGATGTTGAGATTTTCATATTTACAGGGTCTTATGCAAATGATTTATGTGTCTGTACCTCGAATTACTCACTCAATTTCGCAACCAAAACAAAAACATGGAAAACAGAGTTTACTCATCAAATGATGACAGTTCACCATGGTTTTACATGAAACTATTCATGTTATAACGCCTTGGTTATGGGCTTCCCAAGCTCAGTTTTGTTACTGGAAACTAAACATTGTCCTTTATAGTATTTACCTTTGAATCTATACTTGAAAATCAAGAGAACAGAACTATCTGTCCAAAAAAAATGCTAATGTGCTGGAATAAAACTGCACATCAAGCTAACCCTTGGAATTAAATGTTTATCAGCCAACACTAAACAATTTAAAATAGTAACAAAAAAATTCCTTTTGGCTTGTAACTTCTATTCTATTGATGAATTTATCTCTTTGTGCAATAAAACTGTATTGATGCTGCATCAGATTATGATAACACAGTGTCTCAATGCAGCACCACATGTATTGGTTATACAAAGTACTAATTCCGGCAGTAGATGAATATGCAAATGGCAGTCTCTATGTCACTGACCATCAATATTTTGAACTTCTTCGGACGTGCATTTTGTATGTTTCCAATACTAATGTTATGACTGCACTGTGAGTATACAAAGTGAGTGAGGATGCACAGTGAAGCCCCAGTACACCTAAAATATGGTTATAATGGACTGCAATCATGTGTCTGGTAGTATATGCTGCATATAGTTTGTGTGTGTGTGCATGCACGCGCTTCAATATGTGTATGTGTATATGACAAATAACCTATATGTGAATATTCTTGTACATGTATAATGAACTAAGTGCATGCAATCTCTATGTATAGCTATTTATTTACTACATTAAGTTAGTAATAAACAGAATTCAAGTGTTGTGTAGTTTTTGCTATTTCTAAATATACTGCATAATTTCTAAGAAATCTGTCACTGGCACAGCCCAGTTGGTATGGCAATTAAGCTAGATAACTAGGATTAAACTCCTGGCAGGAGTAATAAACTTACCTCTTCTCCATAATGTTCACACTGGCTCTGGAACCCACACAGCCTCCTATTCAGTGTGTACCATGGAGCACTAACCCCAGAGTAAAAGTGAATGGGCATGAAGATGACCATTCACCTACATCTAGTGCCAAGGTTATGAAGGGTGAAGCTATACCTCCACTCCTTCAAATGCCTTCATGGCACAGTGCTTAATTATATAATTCAGTACAGAAGCAACTTGACTAGTAAGAAAGTATTAATTTATAACACACAAAAGAGGAACACACCAAGATATCCTAATGACCAAAAATGTTTCTTTCGGTCCCAGAGATCGTCACTATTTTCTGTACTTGAACTGACGACTTATAAGGCATTATTCTGTTTAATTACCTCACACCTTGGGGTTGCAGAAATCTTGAAACATCCGCCAGTCTCTCCACGCGGCCATTCTTAATTTTTCTTCTTAAAAAGTGTCACTATGTGATACAGATATCTAAAGATTTTCAGAAAATGCCTCAGCTTATCTCACTATCCCTTTCACAAAATCTACACCCTTAGTCTTTTATTTTATGTGCTCTGTTACTGCAAAAACATTATGAGAGTGAAATGACACTGGTATTTTTACTTATGTTTGTGTGTTCTGTTTATTCCAGTGTGATGTTGGACAGTATTGAGACATGGAATTTTGTAGCACAGGCCATAAAATAGAGCCTAGCACACAACAACACAATGCAATGTGGGCATCTGAATTTTGCCTTCATTTCTTTATTTTTCACAGAATGCATGGGGCATCAATTTTGTCTTCTTTCCCATGGAAAATATTTACTGTCATTCTCAAGTCAGATGGCTGGTGGAAGGGGTGTTTTTTTATGTGAAGTTGTCTGTGGTTGCAGCCACCCTCCCCCCCTTGTAAAAATGTGTATACTTGCATAATCTCCTCTCCTATTTGATCCAACTGACTGTCACAGTTGTCAGATAAAGGCATGGAACCTGTCAGTGACAACTTGATGACAGGCAAACGGATCAACTCTGAAGGTCACTATGGAGAACTATGTATGCTTAATGAATACTGTACTCCTAAATCATGCAAGAACAGAGTTAAAACTTTTGGGGACATGTTTCAACCATCCTCTTGAACAGACAGCATAGACATGCTCTCATCTCCAGTTAATACACGGAAGACGATGACTTGAACACGAATCATACTTACATTAAGACTCTTTGAAGCATGTACACGTTATTCTTAATCTCATACGAGTGTCATGTCCTTGCTGTAAAAGACTTATTTTAATGAGAAACATCTGATATGAATGGATCATTTGGTAAGAGGCATGACTAGGATCATCCACAAAACATGCAACTAATGTGGTTTCGTTCAAGAATGGTCCGCTTTATATAGCAATGATTAGTGAAATCGGCGGTGGATTGGGAATAATGGACTACATAATTCTTAAAATTGAAATTTGAAGTCAGGAAGACGACGTTACATTACATTTTACGCAATTATCCTGCGCTTAGCACGAGGGGATGGTAGGGGGGCTCTAAAGACTCGCAAGACGAATGCGAATATTATGTGCACAAACATGATCAAATAATGCAACACTTACCTTGAAATACGTTTGAGCAATGTTGATAGTGACATGTCTCCTTACGTTAAGTATAACTGTGCTTGTACAACAGCATCTCGACAAGAAAGACATCTCACGTATGTATTTACTCAGCACTGTAATTTTCACTGCACAAACACATGCACTTATGTCTTCGCACTCGCCCTAGCCGCCCTAATATCCGCACAAAACTGCGCAGGCTGCGCAGTATTGCATGCATAGAATTCACCGCATGTAAACCGTAACCACCATAACGATGCAAAATAGTAACACGCCCTCTTCATTGATGCCAACATGCAAAATTATGAGATTATATGAGGAATGCATTTGCAATTGAGATTTTCACAAAGGTGAAGTGTTTCATTGTAGTCTTGTAAGTGACGACTATTCGAAAAGGGTGCTGCTTTCGTCTGTCAAGACTACAATGTCTACAATGTCACATTATATAATATTGAAGCATAAGGTAGTAACCAAATAATTTTCTAGTCTCATCCGCAATAAAACCTAGGATTCCACTTGACATGTTCTTACATTTGCAGCGTACCATTAACGAGTTGCGCGAAAAGAATCAATTACCAGTACTTACGGGTGAAAGCTGCGCAATACGAAACAAGCTGCGTTATTGCACGTCATCATTAGCGATTAGGAAGTTACTACAGCCTACTTTAAAATTCGCTTAGTGGGGGATCGAGTCCAGCTGGGTCAATTTATTGGCCTATTGTACCTACCCCGGGTGATCATGATGATGGAGAATTTTGTGGAATGAAGATTGGCAAGGGAAACCGAAGTACTTGCAGAAAACCCGCCTCAGCGCCACTTTGTCCACCACAAATCCCACTTCACCAGACCTGGGATCGAACTCAGCCCGCCAGGGTGGGAAGCCAGCGACTAACCACTTGATCTATGGCACGGCCAACAGCCTATGTTAAATTCCGGTGTTCACAGGCAGGTGGGAAATACAAACATATTGTGTAAACACTTCCCTTACTATATGGCAATAGGTACGAATACTTAGTTACTCCATGGAGCTGAGGCTCCTTCATTAACTGTTGACATAAAACATAAACCATACTTGATGTACACAGCCTCAAACATTCTTCATATAGCCAACACCACTACATAATACACATGGGCAACTGGATCCCAGTTTTACATTGTCTTCATAGCTTGAAGATTGCTGTCATACCAGATTAACTGCAAACATGCATTCAGTATGACAATACTTGCATGCATATAATAGAATAATAAAAACTAAACTCCACAGCTTGAGTCCGCAAGCGAACTATACTGACCAAGCGACCGCTGCTTGTCAGCAAAGTTAGTGTCAACTTTAGCAGATAGAGGTCACATGGTCAGCGCAACAAATCCCCACAGCCCTTAATTTCTATAGTGTGCTAAAATGTTGATGGGAAAATTACTGATTTACACACACACACACACATTCTTTCAAAGTTAACATATTTCAACAACACAATTACTGTATATAACATTTAATGGACAAACTGAATAAACAGGGAATATACTGCTAACACACATAAAATTTGAACAGTAACCCACAGTCCATGGCTACAGATCTGGTCCTAAATCTACAGATTTCAGAAAGAAATTTATCTGAACATATTTCAATCTCTTATACTGTCAAGACTTAAGAAATAAATCATAAAATGTGTAAACATTTTCTGCAAAAAATGCAATTATGGTTTCAATTTCAAATGAGCATACACATGACATGAAATATGACAAGTTAAATGCTAGTACAGTACAATCTTGATTATCTGCATGCTCATTATCCACTTCACATATTAACCTCAGGGCCTCTAGGACCCTTTAGTTATTGATTATGGCTTCCCAAAATGATATTACTGATGAACATTACATCTGTGTAACATGTTACAATAATTTACAACAGACTCTACCATTTCATTGTGCTGTTACTTTCTGTTTCATTATTTTACTGGTTTTTACCCCTGCTTAGAAATAAAAAGATTTTTTGTCCTTGGCACTACAGCCCCAGTGGGCCTAGGCCTACCTCCATGAACTTCTCCGTTCAGTTCGGTTTTATCTAGATCTTACACATTCAGTATGACTCCTTGGGCGGGTGATCAGCTCGTCGCAAGGCCTCTACCTGTACACAAACACAGAAAAATGGACACACACAAACTAAACATCCATGCCCTGGATGGGATTCGAACCCACGGTCCCGGTTTCCAAGCGAGCGAAGACGGTACATGCCTTAGACCACTCGGCTACCGTGACCGGCAATAAAAAGATTGCTTTACTCTAGAAGAAAGACACTTGTCTCACTGATTAGTGACCTGTAGCACAACCAGTAATAATTAAATGATTTTCTGGGTTTAATGCACCATAGGCAATGGGTTATTTCTAAACTTTAAGATTATCTATTATTTTTAAATACCCTTGCTAGTTCTCCCATTAATTACTATGGATATCAAGAGTTCACTGTGTAATGAAACTGCCTGCACATATATAAAAGACTTTCTTTTACAATCTTCGCAAAGAAAGGCCTTTTTATCTTAAATAAAGTGTAAATGTTAACTATGTGTTTCGCAGTGGCGCTACAAAAATAAGCACATAATCCCAGTTACATGAAACTTGAGACATCATTCTTAACAAGAATCTTTTTAAAATTAATTTTGCTTTTCAATTAAGACATTTATGCACAGTCTCATGCCTTTATTGTAATTTTATATACACTTCATAATAAACAGTATATTAATGTAAGAAAATGTTCGTCTATCCTCTTTGGTATATAATTTTCTTATGGTAAAAAGAGACTTTGGGGGGAGAGGATGTCTGCTCCCATAAAATGTTGTGACTTTTTAAAAATATCTTATCATCCAGCTAATAAATTTAGAACAGTTTTACACTTATAAAACACTTATTTCTTTGAGGCCCATGCTCCTTTAATTGCCAATAACTGTATCTATTGTATATAAACAGTCACTGACAGAATAATAAAACTATGATTTATATGAATATCATATTACTGAAAATATATTTCAAAGTAACTGTGTCTGCCACAGCATGTGTAAGATTATCAAATGCAGTTTCATGCACATACTCTGAATGTCAAAATAAAAATGTATTCATAGGATAAATCTAGTCACACTGAATACAAAGTACCAGATATAAAATAAAAGTACAAGCTAGCTACTGCTTAGCACTTTATAACTTGACTATAGTTAACACCACTAACTGCTTACATTAACCCTTTCACTGCTAGTATGTTAAGTAACTCTCAGTGCCCTCTGTACTGAATTACTTTTGAATAAATCTTTTATAAATAATTAAGTGCAAAGTATGAAAATTTGTGATAAAATGTAACTAATCTTACATCAGACAGGGAACAGGCATCAGCAGTTGCAAATATGTTGAATTATTCAGTATTTTCCACAGGGGAAAAGTCCATTAAATCAGGGTTGTCCAAGATGGCCAAAAAAGTACAAAATTCACTATCCTAGTCTTACCACTATGTCACATGTTGACCAAAGTCCAGAACTTTATTTAAAATTATTATAGAAAGCACCGCGCACTATATGAAGCCATTTTTAGTAGCCCTGTGAAATACCCATGCCACATGACCACGGAGCACGTGCCTCGCTGTGCAGATGCAACCTTTTACATTTCTTAAGCTAGAGGGCAGAAGAATGCAGCCATTGAAATGAATGATACTTCATTATGTTCCCAAGAGATGACTATGCACCCACCAAGTTTGAATGAGATTGGTGCCAAGAACCTGAGATTTGAAACTCTAAAGTCGCAATACAGGTTTTGTCGATCTCAGAAAGGACGTCATGTTTTTCAAAGATCGACATATGTCAATCGCAGCAGTGTAAGGGTTAACAAGTTTTAATCAAGTACCTACCATCTGTGATGTTATCAGCAACACAGTGAAAAGCATATCTGGAGTTAATAAATAATGTCTTTAAAGCAATTAAACAGAAGAAAGAAATTATACCTTACTAGCCATCAACTGCACTACCATAACAGCACATGTATACTATCTAGCTGGCCAAGTGCTGTATGTTGTGAATACTTATACCACTACCCTGAGATGAAATCCAGATGCCAGCCGCACAGTACCAGGAAACATAAAATCCTTTACCCACAATGAACCATTCTATGGGGGGGGAACAATTCTGTGAAATTACAAAATATCTTCTTAGAACTACGTCATTAGTGAGTGTACCCATGCACATCAGCCTGTATCTTCTGTCTTAGTATTACTTATGATGGTACTGTGTGTGCCTCAAACATAATGCATCCATTTAGAATTTATTAAAAAACATTCTGGCAAAAGACCAATATTTCATGTCTTGCCTGGACCTATAATTCTCTTTCATATAGATAATTATCAAAAGTTTTGCTCTGCATACTTTTTCAGCTGAACAAATGATTTTGAAATGAGTAAGATTCAATACAGTACAATTCCAAATCAAACACACAAAATAAATTTATAATCCACTTCAGATGTCTTATTTTCTTCTTTGACACTATATGAAAGAAGGTATGATGTAACACTGTTGTCATTAGGAACATCAAGAATCATCGTCTAAAGATTAAGGCACCTCTAACTGAAAGATTTCATATGCAGAGGAAAAGTTCAAGTTTTCTATAATTCTGTTACTATATAGTCTAGATACTCAAAGTATTGCCCAAAATAAAAGAAATTCCCTTCAACTGCAACATAAATGCTAGACAAAATATACATTTGAAGAGGTTTGAAATATAACATACTTCAGAAACTTGTCTTACAGATTTACTTCAGGTATCATGCAATCAGTATGAATGCCAGACCATAATATACAAAGAATGCATTTGAATTTCTGCATCCTTTGGCATTTGAAATGTAACAAATGATGATGCAATGTTCTCTGCTCTGCAGTAAACTCATTACTTTTACAGTGTTTTCCAAGCACACAGTTTTATTATATAAAAATTCCCACTGCACAAACTCCTAAATAATTCTACTTCATGTGTGAAATTTCCATGACCAGAATAAAACAATAACTTTGTAAGAATGACTTGCAGTGAGAGTGGAATTGCTAAATAACCTGAATGTATTAACACAACACAGAACAAATTAACAGAAGCAGCCTAATCCCAAACATACAACCAGTGTTATATGCATGGGCCCTACTGTACCATATACACAATGCAATAATAAACTGAACACTCATGAGATTCCTGTCTCTATCCATGTAAGGAATTACAGTAGAAACAGAAGGCACTTTCACAAAGAAAAATCAACAATTGTTTCTGAAGCTTTAATGGAAGGCATTATTTCTTTCTCTACTTTGTAACCAATGAGATGCTGCAATCAACTTTCATGATTTACAATTAATAAGATTACCTTCAATCA